ATCGAGACAGCACTCCTCTTTCCACTCCAGGAGGGTCTGCTCACAGGCAGATATGCCCACATATGAGTACTTGGCGTGATGACACTGTACAACCCCATCACATATACCCCATACAAATACAGGTGTATGTGGCAGGGGTGGCGCCATAATGTGCTTTTGCGGACCAGCCACGCATGTGTAGAAAACAGCTACTATGTAGAGAGCAGCTACTCTGTAGAGAGCAGTTACTGTGTTGAAAGCAGGTGCTGTGTTGAAAGCAGATACTCTGTTAAAAGTGGCTACTGTGTTGAAAGCAGCAGCATTGAAAGTAAAACAACACTTCATGAATTATAGTCACTGGGTAAATTGAAAATTATGTACTGTAACATCAACTACTGAAAAAAAAATCTGTACCATGGGAACTTAATCTGGATGCAGATCCGTCTTTTTATATTCAGCTGTGGTTGACGTGAATACTGCCCCCTTGTGATAGACTGTGTTGTACCTTCTTCTTCCATTTCCAACAACATATCTTTGTGAAACAGGGTTTTCCAGCTTGTTGGTTATCAAGTCTAAGTACAGAAATAGACTTGTTGTGGAAGCTGATCTTTGCGGTGCTCTTGCAAAGACTGCCCCGAGAATTTCTGATCTGGTGAGAAAGAAGCTATCTCAACCTTCACACTGACGTTGGCTTTTTATGCATACTGCTGCAAAATGTAGCAATGTAATTTACTCTTGTTATATTAAGACTGTTGCCCATACCACACCATGCTTCAAGATAAAATGTCATTTATTTGTAATTAGAAATAAATATTTCATCATATATAATTGCATATTGTCTTGTGATTAATCACTATGCTTTAATTATGTTAAATTTTTAACAATGAAAATCCTGCATATCAGATATCATATTTACATTATGATTCATAACCGTAGCAAAATTAGAGTGATGAAGTGGCAATGAAAATCATTTTATGGGGGTCACCACACATAAGGAACTGTATTAAAGGGTTGCGGCATTAGGAAGGTTGAGAACCACTGATTTACAGAAAAGAAAGTCCTATCTTTCTCCTTCTGAGACCGGTGGTTTCAAATTGTGGACCATAGGGGTCACGGCCCATGCATAATCACAACACCACCCCCCCACCAGGGCTCCCTTAGTAAAAATACCTAGATGTTAATCTTGTTTCAGTTAAAGTCAGGGTCCTAGTGACTATGCCTGTGGCAGTTACATAATCTACTGTCAACTCGATTGACGGGGTGGCGTCCAGCCTGTCAATCAGGTCATAGGGAATGAGGCCTCCGTGTGGGTATGGCCTTCTCCTGAAGATTCTGGGAACTCCTGTCTTCCTCCCTGGAGGCAAAACTTACTTTCTCCCTGCAAGTCATTCCTGTTGACAAGCCAAATGAAGCTATGCTGATGGAGCCAGAGCCATGGAGCTGGAGGAACCATGTGAAGACCCACACCTTCGCTGAGATGCTTCTACCACTACTGGATCCACAAGACTTTCCACTCACAGGCCTGTGATCTTCCTGCATTTGGCATCATTGCATGTGTTGTGTAAGTCTGAAGAAGAATTTATAGACTGGTAGTGGGCATATGGGCTAATATCGGACTTATGGACTTGATCTGAACTGGGCTGGGATGTTTTCTTAATATACAATTACTCTTTGACATAAAGCTCTCTCATACACATACGAGTGTCTCTGGATTTGTTTCTGTAGTCAACTCGGACTAATACAATGACTCAGGGCCACATGGGTATGAGTCATGCCCTGGCTACCATGTAGTCAAGTGGTCAAAACCCCAAAACTAATCCTGTGACCTTTTAAAATCTGCAGTTCTGTACATATCTCAGCCATACTCCTGTCTCGCTTCTGGAGGCCCATCTGCAGCAATGATGTAGGGGTCTGCCACCAATCATAATTCTGTGATGGTTTTCTTCCTTTACGTCATTCATGATTAGCCCATGGCCATGATGTCAGTAGACTTCATTTGGCCTCTGTACTGTGTGGGATGCTGATGGTTTTCCTCACTCTGGGCTGATTGTCTTTATCCCGTTTAAGGCTTAGTAAAAGCATCTCTATATAAAGTTTGAATCTCGGGTCTTTTTTCCTTAATGCATGCTTCAGACTTATTTTAAAGACACAAAGCGGATGGAGTTGAAGTTCTCTTTGTACCCCTGACCAGCACTCTTTCTCTCACCTCTTAACTGCTGTCTGCCATCTTGGTGAATATTTTATATACTCTTTAAAAGGTATGTAGATATTAAAATATCTGTGATTGTTTTGCATGTCTTTACATAACTTAGACATTTTCTGGCAAGCCTATTTTTTTTTTCACTTAAGATTATGCTTTTGAAATATATCCAAGTTTACCCATGTTCTAGTTTAGTCATCTTCATTGGTTGTGTTAGTCCATTCCATGGATAAGAGCAATTGACTTATTCTTTCTCCTGGTCATGGGCCCTCAAGTTGCTTTGTTTTTCATGCTTACAAATAAGGTTTCCAGGAACAGATTTGTAAATTTCTCCTTGCACATATCCTAGTCTATTTACCTAGGGGTGGAAGTGTTGGGACAGAGAGTAGGCATAGCTTTAACTTTACTACACACTGCTAATTTGCTCTTCCAAAAGGAACCAACTTCCACTGCTAGCAGCAGTGGGGAGAGTTCCTGTCTCCCCACATCTTCACCACTCAGGAAGATACACTTATACTTTCTGGCAATCCGTAGGAAAGGAAGCGGTACCCTCCTCTCCTTTTTAATTTAATAGCTTTATTAAAATATCATTCACATCCTGCACAATTCATCTTATCTCTCTTGTTTTTTAATCATTTTATTGGGGGCTCTTACAGATATTCTAACAATCCATAAATTAATTCTATCAAGCGAACTTGTACATATGTTGCATCATCATTTTCAAAACATTGTCTTTCTACTTTAGCCCTTTGGTATCAGATCCTCTACCCTCCCCCTCCCCCAATCTCCTACCCTCATAAACCCTTAAAAAGTAAAATATATTTCCTATCTTACACCATGCACTGTATCCCTTCACCCACATTTCTGTTATTCTTCCCCCAAGGGGAGAAATTATACATCCATCTTTGCTATCAGTTCTCCTGTTCTCCTCCCTCCCCACCCCCGCCCTGTACCCTCATGATAGTGCTGCTCCTGTTTCTGTTTCTGAGGGGTTTATCTTTCCTGGATTCCACGTGTTGAAAGTACTTTTCTGTACCAATGTACATATTCCGGTTTAGCCAGATTTGTGAGGTCAAACTGGGGTCATGATAGTGGGGGGAGGAAGCATTAAAGGACTAGAGGAATGTTGTGTGTAATTCACCTTTTAACAATGTTCAATTAAACTCCTTTCAGTATATGAGGGGGGTACCTTAAAAAAAGCGGAATTTTTTCCCCCAAAGCTA